GCCTGTGTTGGATGTCATGTTTCTTACATCCCACATAGGAAGACTTTCTTAACCTCAATCCTTTATTTTTGGTGGAGCACCTCCTCTATATGCTTGCTTTCTTAGAAAGTTTGCTGAATTCTTTTGCATTTGACCTGTTTTTATCTTTCTGAAACCTTTAGGGATCTTTGTCTCCAGTGCTCTGGTATGTGTGTTTTCAACTGTTGTGCTGGGTACTAAACTCTTTAAATTTGGAAACCTGTATCCTTCATTTTTGGGAATAAAAAATTTATTATTTTTTTTTTGATGATTTCCTCCCTTGCGTTTTCTGTCTCTCTTGGCAGAGATCTTAATATTGGTACTGAATTTTCTTGCCTGGCGCTCTAATTTTCTTAGGTTTCTCTCTGTTTGTCCTTTTGCTTTACTTTTTGAGAAATTTCCCCATATTTTTCTTCTTTCTACTGACTTTCTTTTTTGTTCCCTCAATATTTCTTTTCTTTTCTTTCTTAAATAACACCCTGAGTGGGGAGGGTATAGCTCAGTGATAGTGTGCTTAGCATGCACTGGGGTTCAATCCCCAGTACCTCCATTTAAAAAAATAAAATTAAAAAAAAATTTTAAATAGTACCCTGATCTGTTTCTTGGTTGCAGATCCTCTCATCCCTATGAAGTTATGATTGATAGAGTTTTAAAAGTTTTTGCCTTCCTGTGTGGGTTATTTCTTCAAAATGCCATTTCCTGTTCCTTTTGTGGGTCTTGTTTGGATCATGATCTTTCAGGTTAAAGAATCTTCTGACCACACCCATCATCAGCCTGACTTAGTGCTCAGCACGTCACCTTGTACAGAAAGCGAGACAAACCTTCCTCCGAAAGAATGGCCATTTCTGACAGCGACAAGAGCACATGGCTCTTTCCCCACAATTTCCAAATGGCTTACATGTGAGCTGATGCCTCCTACATCTCATTTTAAGCCCGGACTTCTTTCTTCAGTTTCAGAGCCATACATCTAACTGCTGGGCATCTCCATTTTTATGTTCCACTTTGTCCTCCTGTTCCTCTGCATTCCCTAAATCAGAAATTAGCACACTCTCCCTCTAGTCACCTTTGTGGGGTCCTCCCCATTCACCTTCCTTGACAGGTGGAGGTGAGTATGGAAGACAAGAGAAGATCACTGTACCCTAGAGTGTGAACTACAACGTCTCTGCCCATCTGTCCTCTCTGGTATCCCCTGTGTCTGGCGTGGAGGTGGGTTCACATAATAATAAATATTTGCTGAAAGAATGCCTGAAAAAAAAGGGTGGGGACTAAAAATGTACCTGGGAGCTCAGAGTATATAAAGAGGCTTTTTTTTTTTGTCTAGATGAGTTTATTTTCATACAAATATTTCATGGCAACAGGAATGTAGCAAGCAGGTCAGGGTAGAAGGGAAAAATTTTAAATGCAGGTTTGTACATGTTACTCTATTTACATCTGGGTGCAGGCTTTCCCAACATCAGGCTCAGCAGCTGCCCTTGTCCGATGCCCCTTTGCAGACAGCCCCGGGCACATTTGGCACAGCCCTCGTGACAGCAGGGGCAGCAGCTCTTCTTGCAGGAGGTGCATTTGCACTCTTTGCATTTGCAGGAGCTACAGCAGGTGCAGGAGCCACCAGTGGAGCAGGAGCATTTGAGGTTCTTTTTAAGCTGAGTTGAGGCTGGAGGTCCAAAACAGTGGCAAAGAAGAGGTACTAGGGCCAGTGCAAGGTGTGTTTTGGGGTTTGTTGATTGTGAGATCAATAAGGGAGTGATGTGGCTGGGGTGTCTTATTGGGGAACCCTGATTTCATTATCTCTAGATCTGTTCCCATGACCCGAAGAAGATTCTTATGATTGCCTACCTAGAGGTAGAAGAACTGGCAGTTAGTGTTTTGGAGCTAAGTGGAGAAATTGTTTTATTACTCAGTATATACATACTTGCTTAATTTTCCTTCTGTTTTACCTTTTCCAGAAGGGAAAACTTAAGTCTTTTTCCTTGAAGGGGGATGATCAGTAGTCTACTTACTGAGAGTGGGGGAGGGAACCTCACTTAAAGAGTTTTAACCAATCCTCCTAATTATAGGACCTCTTTCTTCAGCTTTGCCACCATTTCCAGAGGTGTCTAAGGTTATCAGGTCCTAGACCTTTTGGTGATACTCTGGTGCAAATAATGCTGCATTTGAGCTTTCTCCATTGCTGGTTTGCTAAATCATCTACTGATTGTCTATTTTTTGGTGCCTTGCAATATCTTATTGCTGTCGAATCCTCTCCCCTTCTCCTCATCCGCATGAATCTATGCCTAAAAAAAATCAAACAAACCCATTTGTGTTTTCAACGGAGTTTCAGGAAGAAGAAAATGAAGATACAGCTGTTCAATCTGACATCTTTCTCTGGTAATTATTCCTATTTCTGTTCATTCCTACTGCAGTTGCTCTAATTTGAGCCACCATCATTGCTCAGCTGGTCCACTGCAGCAGCTTGCCAATTGTTCTTTCCACTTCCAAGGCTTGCTCTTTCCTTATCTATTTTATTCCACTGAAGTCGGAGTGAGCGTTTCTACAGAACAATGTGATTATTCCTCTACCCTCCTTTAGACCCTTCTTTGAGTCCCTTTTGCTCTTAATTTGTAAGGACCCTGCATCATCTGGCCTTGGTCTAATTTCCATTCTTATCTCCCAACTTTCTCCCAGTTGCTCCCTGGGCTCCAGCCACGTTGTAACCTATGTTTCTTTTAATGCCCAAAAGTCACATCTTAAGGTTTCCCTACATACTGTAGTAAACTTATCTGTAACTGTCTCTCACCACTTCCTCCAACCCCCTTTCTGCCAACTTTTTCCAGTTAACTTCTACTTACTGGCTTTCAGGTCTCAACTTTTGCTTTTCTTCTTCAAGAAAGTCTTTCATGTTACTCCAGACTTGGTAGGTCCTTGGTTGATGGTCTGATCATTCTAAGTACTTGCTATCCCTCCCCTAGATGTGTTATACCTCCCTCTCCTAATAGTGTCAATATTCCACATAACACACTTCAGGATATTCTACATTATAACTTTCATCACACTTTAGTTTATTATTATATGTTTAGTTGTCTGTCCTCCTGACCAGAGTGTAAACTCCAAGAAGGAAGGGTCGTGTGTCTATTTCATATACCACAATACCCCTAGTGTTTAGTATACTGCCTTGACCACCCATAATAATGACAAAGACTTCTTAACCAGACTGTAGCATGGCTACTAGTAGCTTAAGGCCATGTCCCCAGGATGAACCCTGTCTCCCTTAAAATGCCTGCCTGAGAAAACTCAACACTGCCAGGAATTTACTGTTTGTTCCAACCCAAAACAGGTATAGGCATACAGGCTGCTGAACCTCCTTTAAAGCAGTTACTTTAGAAAGCTTGCAATTATAAATCCTTTCTCTGCCCCTTTGAGATATAAGTCTTCTGTCACCCAAAACTGTCTTCTCAAGGACCTGAGAATTGTATCCTCCCAGCCTGGTGGGTACCTTGCTCTAAGTTGTACCACTGCCTGCCATAAAGATGTGAGAAGTCTATTTCTCCTACAGATAAGTGCCAATTAACAAAATTAACAAACCTGGGTGGCCTAGTCACATGGACCAATACCCCTTTGCACCCTTCAGTGCCTTTGCCTTAGCACACCTGTCTTTAAAGTCTCCAGCCTTTCGGGGAAGTTCAGTTTAGTGCAGTTCATGATGTACCCACTTCCTTAATGCAATAGTTATTACTGAATAAAATCTATCCTTACTGCTTTAAGCTAGTGCCTGGCTTTCTTTTTCTTTGACAGTAAGCACACTAGTCATTGAATTAGTTAATAAACAGGTACTATATAGGTGTGAACAGCTGGGAGAGAGGGTAGTTTCATTGTTTCAAAGCTTCTTTTAGGGTTTCTTCTATCCCCCCTCTCCTACCCTCCAAGAAGATATTTTTTTTCTTTCGTGATTTTTACCTATATGAAAGATGCCAATTACATCCAAATTATCCACAGTGCATTTTGGGATTAAATCAGTCAGATTATTGTAGACAAGTATAGAAAGCTATCTAAAAAGGTCACACACCTAAATGTCAATTCCCTGGTTTCTCTCTTAAACTTTTTTCCCTTTCCTTTGGCTTAAAAATTTAAAAAGTTTTACCATTTCTATTTCTGGGCCAATGACAAGAGTTCAGTTCAGTCCAGAAAGACACGTGAGCGGGTTAAAAGTGATTGCTGGAGTGAGTTTGGCTAGACCTTGGCTACAAATGGCCCTCACATTTCTCCCCTCTGCGCACAGCACTCTGCTACCTACGCCTGCGGGCTTCCGCTGTTTCTCCAAAATCTTGTCCAGTTAAACGTTCCTGTTTGTACTTTCAGAAGTCCGGAACGCCCTGAGCAATCCGAGACTTTCAGCGTCAATTCATACTTGATTCACACAACCCGCAGCGTTTCCTCTCCTGCTCTCCAACCCCAGCCTCGGCCTCCGCTTCCAGCCGCGCTCGAGCATTGGCGGAGGCTGTCACGTGCTAGGACCCGGGCGTGAAGCCTGCGACGCCATTTTGATTTCTGGCGGCCCCCTAGGGGAAAGGATTGGGCTGCTGACCAGCCACCCGGAGTTCCGGCCCTTGTGCGCAAGTGCGGAAGTGTGTTGGCCCCGAATGTGATCTGCTTCCGGCCAGTGGTGCCTCTCCGGCCAGCCGGAGACGTGTAACGGACGGTGGGCCGCAGCCATGGCTGAGAGGAAGCCTAACGGTGGCGGCGGCGCCGCCTCCACCTCCTCTTCGGGCACTAACTTACTCTTCTCCTCCTCGGCCACGGAGCTCAGTTTCAACGTGCCCTTTATTCCGGTCACCCAAGCCGCCGCTGCCTCGACCTCCCTGCTCTTGCCCGGAGGTAGTAAAGAGAGGGGAGTCCGGTGGGGCAAGTGTGTGCAGGGAGGCGGGCGGGGGGCGTGGGGTGATGAGGGTCGGACGGGAGGCCTGTCATCTGCCTGGATCTGACCCTCTTGGTAGCTTGCTAGGGCCATCAGTGGCCAAGTTTGAGTGGCCCGGGGACTTTGGGATCCTGGGGGCAGGGGCCAGGCTCTTCGTCGAAGGAACTCTGTTCCGATTGCTGGCCACTCCTGTATTGGCATTTCACAAATTTTTGTTTAATACCTACAGGTGTGCCAGGTGCTTTCAGGGAATGCAAATAAGTGCTGCCTCTCCTAGGATACAGTAGGGTATCTCCTAGGATAGACACGTAACAGTTGCTACAGTACAGAATACAGTCCTCATCTTTCAAGGCAGTGCATCATTTCTCTAAGGAGCTCTTGCTTATTCTTAGGACCCGACTCCTATGTGCACCCTAGCTCTTTGTTCATATCTTTATTACAGTCTAGGGAGATTGCATTTTAAAGATTATGTGGCATAACCTGGCTGGTGTTTAGGAGCGCAGAACTTGTTCCAGCCTTAGCCCAGCAAATAAGTTACTGTGCGACTTCAAGCATGTTACTTTACCTCTCTGTGCTTCATTTTCCATATATATATATATATATATATATAGCCTCATAGGGCTGTAATGAGAAGAGAATTGATTCTTGTAAAGCACTGAATATAGGGTCTGGATATAAATGTTTGTGAAATAAACATATCTGCTTCTTTGGACTGTGGGCTTCTTGACGTTTGCAACTGTGGGCAACTTGACGTATGACTAACATACTTTTTTATTTCTAGGATCTTGTTTAGTGTCTAACACATAGATCCTCAGTAAATGCTGAATATTTTTCCATTGAATAATCTAGCTTGAAGGACTAAGGAAAGTTTCAGAAAGTGAAGAAGGACAAGCAGAAGGCAGCTATACATGAAAGTTCCCCCTCCTTAGTGTTATGTTTCTTCTTGGTGCTTTTCACCATCTGACATGTGCACATTTTTTCCCATTAGAATGTAAGCTCCCTTAGAGCAGGAACTTATATGTAGAACAGTGTTTAGTATGCTGTAGACCAGTTTTTCAGTAGAGACTTGTTGAACGGATAAAAGGATGGGAGTCAGGAATATGTATGTCTTGTTTTGAGAGTGTGTCTGAAAGGTGAGGCATTGCCATTTTGGTGGAGGACTAGCATGGCTGGAGCAGAATGTTCTGGGAGGGTGCAGGAATAAATAAAGCCGTACATGGGATTTTCATATCATCCTCTGTTTCACAAATGTTTGGCTCATGCCCATCTTCCTTGCTGAATAATATTTTGTTTGTGTGTGTCACTATCAATTAATGCTAAACATTTTCATGTTCAAGTACAGGATAATTTGTCTTGGAAACAGGTTTCTTGGAGATAGGTTATTTAATAAGAAAATTAATAGTTTTTAGGGCTAAAATTCTGGATCAAATATTTTCCCACCTCTGAAAAAGATTTGATCATTAGAAACCTGTTTAGAGAATTTCCAAAGACAAAAGAAGGACCTGTCCCATTGGAAGCAATGTGACACACGTTAGTGAAAGAGACACATAGGAAGCAGTTTTCATTCATTCAGCAAACATGGATTGGGCAGCTTCTGTTTGCCAGGCTCTGTTCCAGATGTCAGGGAGACACAGAAGAGCAGACAGCATTGCCCTTGGTGACTGCGTAGTATGTACAGACACACTGTACCCAGCTGTGTAAGTCATTGTGATGCAGGTTTTTGATGGCTTGAAAGAGGGATCGATATGCTGCTGTGAGAGCTGTGGGTGTCAGGCTGGCTGACCAGGGAGAGGACATCTCATAGGCCTTCAGGGCATCACAGAGGAGGTGATTCGTGAGCTGGGTGTTGAAGGGTACTAGCAGTTAGGGAGTCTGGGCAGAAAGGCATGT